ATTGTTTGACTAGTCTAGCATCCCCTACATATTGTTTGACTAGTCTAGCACACCCTAAAGAATTGTTTGACTAGTCTAGCACACCCTACATATTGTTTGACTAGTCTAGTACACCCTACATATTGTTTGACTAGTCTAGCACACCCTACATATTGTTTGACTAGTCTAGCACACCCTATAGAATTGTTTGACTAGTCTAGCACACCCTACATATTGTTTGACTAGTCTAGCACACACTAAAGAATTGTTTGACAAGTCTAGCACACCCTACATATTGTTTGACTAGTCTAGCACACCCTACATATTGTTTGACTAGTCTAGCACACCCTAAAGAATTGTTTGACTAGTCTAGCACACCCTAAAGAATTGTTTGACTAGTCTAGCACACCCTAAAGAATTGTTTGACTAGTTTAGCACACCCTACATATTGTTTGACTAGTCTAGCACACCCTAAATAATTGTTTGCCTAGTCTAGCACACCCTACATATTGTTTGACAAGTCTAGCACACCCTAAAGAATTGTTTGACTAGTCTAGCAAACCCTAAAGAATTGTTTGACTAGTCTAGCACACCCTAAAGAATTGTTTGACTAGTCTAGCACACCCTACAAATTGTTTGACTAGTCTAGCACACCCTAAAGAATTGTTTGACTAGTCTAGCACACCCTACAAATTGTTTGACTAGTCTAGCACACCCTACATATTGTTGGACTAGTCTAGCACACCCTACATATTGTTGGACTAGTCTAACACACTCTAAATATTGTTTGACTAAGTATAGCACACCCTAAAGAATTGTTTGACTAGTCTAGCTTACCCTAAGGAATTGTTTAACTAGTCTAGCACACTCTAATTATTGTTTGACTAGTCTAGCACACCCTAAATATTGTTTGACTAGTCTAGCTCCCCCTACAAATTATTTGACTAAGTCTATCATGCCCTACAAATTGTTTACCAAGTCTAGCACACCCTACAAAAGTAACATTGCCTTTTAGAATAATTGACTTCTAATGAATTTTTTTGGATTGTAAAGAGAACTGTAGAACTAAGAAAACAAAACGTGTGACTCATAATACTGACCTTTGCCAAATGTATAATACTGATATTCGCCATATGTATAATATTGAGCTTTGCCATATGTATAATATTGAGCTTTGCCATATGTATAATATTGACCTTTGCTATATGTATAATATTAACCTTTACCATACTGACCTATGCCATGTGAATAAAACTACTAACCTATGCCATGTGCATAATACCGACCTGGTATGGTACTGACCTATCGTGTATGTGTAATACTGGCCTCTGCCATCTGTATACTTCTGGCCTTTGTTATGTGTATAACTCACTGATCCATATCCTATTTTTTCAATTTTCAATGCTGTATGTACTGTTCTGACCTGACATTGTACCCCAGCTCATTAGTGCATGTTTATTTTAAGTCAATTTGACACCAAGAAAGTACCGGCATTGCTATATTCCAATGGAAGGACCTGCTTCAAATGACATCCCTCTGTTAAACTGGTGTTATTCATATGTGTTAAACTGGTGTTATTCATATGTGTTAAACTGGGGTTTTTCATATGTGTTATGCTGCTGTTAATCATAAGTTTTTTACTGCTGTTAATCATATGTGTTATACTGCTGTTAATCATATGTGTTATACTGCTGTTAATCATGTGTGTTATACTGCTGTTAATCATATGTGTTATACTGCTGTTAATCATATGTGTTATACTGCTGTTAATCATATGTGTTATACTGCTGTTAATCATATGTGTTATACTGCTGTTAATCATATGTGTTATACTGCTGTTTATCATATGTGTTATACTGCTGTTAATCATAGCTATTGTTGCTATATCTTGCTTGTAAGATTCCCATCAAGCGTCCACAGGAAACAAGCCGGTAGTTAAACCAAAATAGTTTGATGAGTTCTGCTGAAAACCTCAGTTTAAGTTGATCATGTCCAAACCCTATCCCACACATGTCATTTCCAAACCCTATCCCACACATGTCATTTCCAAACCCTATCCCACACATGTCATGTCCAAACCCTATCCCACACATGTCATGTCCAAACCCTATCCCACACATCATTTCCAAACCCTATCCCACACGTCATGTCCAAACCCTATCCCACACATGTCATTTCCAAACCCTATCCCACACATGTCATTTCCAAAAACTATCCTACACGTCAATTCCAAACCCTTTCCCACACATGTCATTTCCAAACCCTATCCCACACATGTCTTTGTCCATGTTGAGCTCAAGATGTCAGTCAATAGCCTCTCCTTTTGTTGGGTCAAGTTTTTTAAAGTCTGCTTAAACTTTATAAAATCTCAGATGCTATTAATTTTATGATATTTGAAGAAAACTATTTTTGTTCTGGTTTCCATCATCCCAAATGAATTGCTGCAACTGGCCTCTATCCTCTAGCTCAAGAAATGTAAAATATTACTGATCAATAAACATGTCTTTGGATCTGTTACATTGTTTGGAAGTCATAGTATTATTATTTATTTATTTAGGCATTTTTATATAGCACTTACCTTAAAGCTCTAAGCGCTTTACAATTATTAAAAACATGTAAACTAACTACAATAAAAATGAGACCTTAGGATAGTAACTACTATACTATAGAAACAATTAAAATGGCTATAAAACGAGGACACTTTGGCATTATTATTATTATGGTGTTCTAATACTAAGTGGGACCCGGCTTTCAAGTGAATTCCATGATAAATTATAAATGATGTGGTTGTGGCATAACTCTCGAACATCAGTCAGCACTAAAAGGATTGGGACATGAAAGAAAGTTTGCAGCGATTTTAAAAATTACCTTTCAATCAATTCTATTATGAATCAAATCATAACTTGAACTAGTCCCCATGCCAGGATTCAGCTTACAAGAATTTTGAGATCCCTTGCAATACCCCCAACCATTTTAAATCAAATGAAAATAGTATCAAAACAAAAACGTTTGCAATTATTTGCACACACTGTAAAGTAGCACTTGAAAACACTAAAGTAGCAATGGCACAAACTCTAAAGTAGCACTTGAAAACACTAAAGTAGCAATGGCACAAACTCTAAAGTAGCACTTGAAAACATTAAAGTAGCAATGTCACAAACTCTAAAGTAGCACTTGAAAACACTAAAGTAGCAATGGCACAAACTCTAAAGTAGCACTTGAAAACACTAAAGTAGCAATGGCACATACTCTCAAGTAGCACTTGAAAACACTAATGTAGCAATGGCACAAACTCTAAAGTAGCTCTTGAAAACACTGAAGTAGCAATAGCACATACTCTAAAGTACCACTTAAAAACACTAAAGTAGCAATGTCACAAACTCTAAAGTAGCACTTGACAACACTAAAGTAGCAATGGCACAAACTCTAAAGTAGCACTTGAAAACACTAAAGTAGCAATGGCACAAACTCTAAAGTAACACTTGAAAACACTAAAGTAGCAATGGCACATACTCTAAAGTAACACTTGAAAACACTAAAGTAGCAATGTCACAAACTCTAAAGTAGCACTTGAAAACACACTAAAAAATACAAACCGCTACCAACCACTGACCAGCAACACTTACTCATATAGAGAGCCATTACTACCAACTACTGACCAGCAACACTTACTCATATAGAGAGCCATTACTATCAACTACTGACCAGCAACACTTACTCATATAGAGAGCCATTACTACCAACTACTGACCAGCAACACTTACTCATATAGAGAGCCATTACTACCAACTACTGACCAGCAACACTTACTCATATAGAGAGCCATTACTATCAACTACTGACCAGCAACACTTACTCATATAGAGAGCCATTACTATCAACTACTGACCAGCAACACTTACTCATATAGAGAGCCATTACTACCAACTACTGACCAGCAACACTTACTCATATAGAGAGCCATTACTATCAACCACTGACCACATATAGTGAACCACTGCTCCATATTTGATTTTTGTTATGTTTGTGGTTTAGGACATGTGGGTAGCGACAAAAGGTCAGGGGTCACTTGAGAATTTTCAGAAATTTTGGGGGGAGTTTTTGGTGTGTAAAATGTGAGTTTTTCCTTCTTTGAATGACGTCATTTGCGTGATTATTTAAGTGGCCGTGTAAGAGTCACTTCCCTTTGTTTTATTTTTAGAGAAGTATGTTTTTTATGTATTAGTATTCATACGCGGATTGCATGTTTGACATTAAAATTTTATTGGTTGATTAATTATCATTTAAACATTTTATTGGTTGGCTAATTATCATATTTTATTTGTTCCGCCATATTTAAAACGACTTGTTCATGCCAGGCCTTGTATTTTATTCCTTTTGTGGATATCATTTTAGGTGGAACCTGAAATAAAATGTGTACATGTGTATTCTATAAAACTGTAAATTAGGTTTTCATTATGGCTGCGACTATTCGTACGCGGGTACCAGAAGTGAGATGTTGGGATTAAAAACTTTTAAAAATAGTATTGTTGGGTTTGTAAGAAAAAATGAGGTATCAGATGAAAGATAATTGAATGGACTATATGTTTATAAACTTACTTCTTCAGTTTAACTAAAATACACTACCACAAGTGACATCCGAATAGCTTGAGTCTAATGGTACCCTGGTGCGAATGGCGGCGCTGCGTGTCTGGGTCCATTTGGACTCGGATAACATTATGTTATATTTATTTTTACATTTCAGCAAGTCACATAGCCTATTGTCACCAATTGTTGTAGTCAAATCATTCTAGCAAGTCACAGATTGTCACCAATTGTTACTGTCAAATGCGTTGAATTTTTACACTTTTTTAATTCTGTAACTCTAGCACAAAGGTTCTCACTCATTTTAAAGTCACGACCACATTTATTACGAAGCAAAGTTAGATCTAACCTTACCACGATAGATTAAAAAAAAATGCTTTGAAATAAGGAACATTATTGGCAATGAATAAAACACGTTGAAACTAGATTTATTTCGCATCGTAATTAGGAAATATTTAATGCCAGGACTGAAAATGTTGCTCTGACTGTACAGTTACCAATTAAAAGGAAAACTATTTAAAAATCATGTATCTGTTTTATTATCATAATAAACTCTCTATTGTTTCAGCACGTGACCATACAGAAATTTATTCTGGTCATTATTAGAGATCACGTCTAAAACGGAAAAAGAGTACTGGAAGGTGAAGACCGTCTAAGAATTATGGTGTGGAGGTTATTCTGAACTTCCGTTGTACTCAACCTATTTCTGGAACATGGCGTCTCTCAACAGAGAGATTTGAAACTATTTTCGTTTACCGCTGCAAATATCAAATTAAATAACTTACAAAACATTTATATATATATATATATTTAGACTGCCCTAAGAAATGCCTATGACTCCAGACTTTGTCCAATGAAATGACCAAACTACCGGACGTATTCGAAATAAGCCGGCGAAAATTACGCTGCGGCGAGAACATTTTTGTATATTTTTTGTTTGGGTCGCGCCAGCTCGCTGCGAAAACGTGTCGTCATAGATGTGCGTTCAGTAAGAACTGATCTGGAAAGTAGACATGCAGTTACTTACGATACATTTTTGGAAGCGGTAAACCATAAATAAACGCTAAAAAACGTTGATTTAAAAATAAAAATTGCGTTAAACAAAATTCAAATACTTTTCTAGCGAGAAGTAAAGTTGCTCAAAAGTATAGCACGCTAAAGAGTGTGGAAACAAAATGGTGCTACCAGACGGATACAGTTAACTGTGCGCATACATGGATACATGGACTTTGAGTGTGTCAATCGTATTCACGTGGATTTCAGTCTCAGACAGGAGAGAAAAATGGCATCAAAAGTTCTCTTGAATTTCGAGCTCATCTTGAGATAAATAAAGATGTTGACCGACGAGTTGACAGACTGCAGCAGAAGTGTGAATGTCCCGGTGATGAGCAGCAGGTTCTCCTCACGCCTGCCGAAGTTGAACTCCGAGACGATGATGGCCGTGAAGACCGTCATAATGTCGGGGGCGTAGCAGAAGATGTAGACCACCGAAATGATGGCCACCATTTTGATGGCTCGCCGGTCCTTGTTGGACACCGTGGACTTGTCAGTCTTTTCCTCATTTTTGCCAGTCGTCACAGAATCTCGCCATTTAGCCTTCCTGTTGAGGTTGATCGCCAGAATGATGGTGAAGATGATGGTGGCCACGAAGATGACTGGGATGAGAAACACGGTGTTGATCCCGAATGAGATGTTATCCACAAGGTCACGGTCGTCGGTGAACACCATGCTGAGGATGGTTCTGTTGGAGTCGGGGACGCGGTTCCACGCCATGCGGCTGGTGTAGAAGACAGGGGCGGTACTCAGCGTCATGATGACCGTGATGACCACCATGACGACGCACGTTCTTCTGTTGGTGATGATGGTCCTCACCTTCAGCGGCATGGCGATACAGAGGCAGCGCTCGAAGGACACGAAGGCCGTCATCCCGCTGGACACGCGGGAGAAGGCGATGTGCGTCCAGCCGATGATGTAGGACAGGTCGGACAGGTTCACCGGGTACCCGGCGTTGATGACCAGAGGGCTGAAACACATGCCCACGCCGAGCATCGTGATGGTCACTCCAAAGTCCATGAAAGACAGCGCCAGGAGGGTGATGGTCACCGTGTCCGTCAGGCCCTGTCTGACGAAGACGATGATGTTGACAACGTTGGCGACTGTGCCGAAGGAGCAGATGATACCGGAAGCTACTGACAGGGCGACGCCGTACGCGTCCCTCGCTGCGGCTGAAGCTATGCCAGACTGCACGACAGTGTGATTCATTCGTCAGCCGTCAAGACACGTCATCCAACAGCGTGGGTCACTGGTGTGGGTCACAGGTGTGGGTCACAGGTGTAGGTCACTGGTGTGGGTCACTGATGTGGGTCACTGGTGTGGGTCACTGGTGTGGGTCACTGGTGTAGATCACTGATGTGGGTCACTGGTGTGGGTCACTGATGTGGGTCACTGGTGCGGGTCACTGGTGAGGGTCACTGATGTGGGTCACTGGTGTAGATCACTGATGTGGGTCACTGGTGTTGGTCACTGATGTGGGTCACTGGTGCGGGTCACTCGTGAGGGTCACTGATGTGGGTCACTGGTGTGGGTCACTGGTGTGGGTCACTGGTGTGGGTCACTGGTGTGGGTCACTGGTAGTGATTTTTCTCTGCGTTAACATAATACATGAAGTTATTTTTGACTTGGCTGAATTTAAGAGATGATTTGAGATGATTTATTTCATAGTTCAGGGTGAAATTATTTCTATTCAAAGATGTGTGATAATTGTAACATTGTCATGCTATCTTTTATAAAAGTCATAATATATCAATAAGGTTTAGTTGATTACTTGACTGGGTCTAAAAATCATAATAAATCACTAAGGTTTCGTTTTACTTGAATAGGTCTAAAAGTCATAATAGATGACTAAGGTTTATTTGCTCATTTGAGAAGGTGGGGGGGGGGGGGGGGGGGGGTTAAAAGTCATAAAATATCACTAAGGTTTCTTGTTTACTTAACGGGGTCTAAAAGTCATTATAGATCATTCAGGTTTGGTTGCTCAAGGTTTCGTTTTACTTGAATAGGTCTAAAAGTCATAATAGATGACTAAGGTTTATTTGCTCATTTGAGAAGGTGGGGGGGGGGGGGGGGGTGGGTTAAAAGTCATAAAATATCACTAAGATTTCTTGTTTACTTAACTGGGTCTAAAAGTCATTATAGATCATTCAGGTTTGGTTGCTCACTTGACTGGTCTAAAAGTCATAATATATCACCATGGTTTCGTTGCTTACATGACTGGGTCCAACCATGAAAACACGATCGAAAGTGTGTCAAAATGTGGACCGATGACAAGAAGTCTTGGTTAAAGAGAAAGCATTGGATTGAACAACAGAACACACATGGGAAAGATCACACATTGAAGCACGTTCTATACAACAAGTGGGGAACACATTCCTCCAATGACTGGTTCAACAACACATTCCTGCAATGACTGGTTCAACAACACATTCCTCCAATGAATGGTTCAACAACACATTCCTCCAATGAATGGTTCAACAGCACATTCCTCCAATGACTGGTTCAACAACACATTCCTCCAATGAATGGTTCAACAACACATTCCTCCAATGAATGGTTCAACAATACATTCCTCCAATGAATGGTTCAACAATCTGTTTCGATTGGAGTTGTTGGTCATGTCTGCTTCTTAGCTTTAAAAAATAAATTGATCTATACGTCAACACACACACACACACAAAAGTAACTTTAAAAACAAAGAAAAGTTTGACAGCGATCGAATGAACAATTACTTATATTTATAGGTTTTAAAAAAAATGGATTGCCACGTCTTCATCGACTCAAAAACATATTTATTCATCTTGATAAATGGAAAGATCACCATCAAAAGTATAACGAAGAAAGGCAGATGAGCGCAGACGAGATGTTCATCACTTTTCCTAGATGACAAAAGATGCGCCAAAAGCTCTAGTGATCTAATCGTAGCCCACTCTTGATTTCAAAATATTTCTCGCACCCCCTCGATAAAAATAGATTATAAAAATACCCCCTTTTTTTTGGTTGATTTTCTGGGTCTTCCCACATCCCCTGTCATTGCCTCTCTACCAAGGGGTTACGGACACCACTGCTTAAGAACCCCTGATCTAGCTTTAGGCTTCGTTTATTTCTTCAAAATTATTAAAATATTGCCAGCTTTTTAAATGCTGTAAAGAATACGAAATGAAGAACTAATAGATTATGTTTAGTATCATTTGATGAAATAGTATCATTGTATGAATAGAAGGTGACATAATATCATTGTGTGAATAGAAGGTGACACTGTCGTTGTATGAATAGAAAGTGACATAATATCTTTGTGCGAATAGATGGTGACACTGTCGTTGTATGAATAGAAGGTGACATAATATCATTGTGTTAGTCTTAATAGAAGTTGACACTGTCATTGTATCCCGAGGGTAAACAGATACACCAGGAAAACACCATTGGCGTATTTAACTTGTCTTTATTTGTACCCTGTGCTGATAGTGAGCAAACAATTGTGAAATAATTCTGTACCACTTAAGACTTTGTCTGTGTGAAGTTGGAAGAAACTCAAGGATGTAAAGGTGACTTTAAGCTTCGAATATGGCTTCAAAAGTTAACATTTTGTTTGAAAGATTCATCTTTAAAATATAATTTTACTAATACTACTTGCTAAGTCTGATGGCTCGGTACCGATGGTTCACTAGTACTACTTGCTTAGTCTGATGGCTCGGTACCGATGGTTCACTAGTACTACTTGCTTAGTCAGATGGCTCGGTACCGATGGTTCACTAGTACTACTTGCTTAGTCAGATGGCTCGGTACCGATGGTTCACTAGTACTACTTGCTTAGTCTGATGGCTCGGTACCGATGGTTCACTAGTACTACTTGCTTAGTCTGATGGCTCGGTACCGATGGTTCACTAGTACTACTTGCTTAGTCTGATGGCTCGGTACCGATGGTTCACTAGTACTACTTGCTTTTTCTGATGGCTCGGTACCGATGGTTCACTAGTACTGCTTGCTTAGTCTGATGGCTCGGTACCGATGGTTCACTAGAGCTACTTGCTTAGTCTGATGGCTCGGTACAGATGGTTCACTAGTGCTACTTGCTTAGTCTGATGGCTTGGTACGGATGGATCACTAGTACTACTTGGTTAGTCTGATGGCTCGGTACCGATAGTTCACTAGTACTACTTGGTTAGTCTGATGGCTCGGTACCGATGGTTCACTAGTACTACTTGCTTAGTCTGATGGCTCGGTACCGATGGTTCACTAGTACTACTTGCTTAGTCTGATGGCTCGGTACCGATGGTTCATTAGTACTACTTGCTTAGTCTGATGGCTCGGTACCGATGGTTCACTAGTACTACTTGCTTAGTCTGATGGCTCCGTACCGATTGTTCACTAGTACTACTTGCTTAGTCTGATGGCTCGGTACCGATGGTTCACTAGTACTACTTGCTTAGTCTGATGGCTCGGTACGGATGGTTCACTAGTACTACTTGCTTAGTCTGATGGCTCGGTACCGATGGTTCAAAAATCTGCTATTAAAAGAATACACTGTATTCTTTCGTTGTGGATAAAATGATACATAATGAATAGAATTATTATTGCATTTGTCGATGCTGATTGGCCTCGTCTAGCTACACCGCCAGGTACGAAGTTAAATGCCTGGACTTTCGTGAATAAGAAACTCGTCTGCTAATCAGTGTCAGTTATATTGAATATACTTTATTAGCTGTTCTCTGATCTTCTTAAATTATTTTCGTTTTTTTACCCCTGGTGTAGGTGGTTAGATGGGTCTCTAAATAAAAGACAACACTATGCGGCTGTGGGGGTGGGGTGGAGGGGGGTGTGGTGGTTGAAACAAGATAACGTTTTTAATTTTAAAAAAAAAAAATGTTGAATGAGGTTTTGACATTGCAAGGTCAAGAATAATTCGTTTTAAAATAATCTCGATTCACCCAGCAGCCTCAGGCATAAGTACGATTAGAAAAATAGTTTTGGGTACGAGGATTTATTTGTCTATCTACTTATGCTTGATCATTTAAGTGTATTCAAGTGGGTGCTGACTTTTGTATTTACTTAGGAATTGGCTTTTATGTCGGCTGTTGGGCAGCTAGGGTTTTTGAACAGTTGGAGTTGACTCCCCTCAGACACTAAAACCACACATCATACCATCAAACATAATAAACCATTGATCTTTAAATGATATGAAGTGTGACGTAAAATGGCCGACCTTGTTCCCAAGCGATGCCAGAGGCGCAGTTTCTTTTCATCTAACGAATTAACTGTTGAAACCGAAAGTTCAAGTTTTAATCGAGCAAACCACCTGGAAGTTGCTACATCTCATGTAGTATATCCAAACACTGTCTTTCTTCACGCTAATTTTGCATCTGTTCATCGAGATGCTAAAATTTAAGGCTAAATTTGATATGAATTTCAATAAGAAGAAAAACATGTAGGTTAAAAAAAATTAAATATTATACTCGTGTTGAGCCAGCTACAAGCATAAGGACCACTTTCTTATTTTATTTTAAAAAATAGTGAAATCTACCAGTATCTGCCTTCAGGATTCCCCCCTTAGAAATATCGGACCAAGCGTGTTGTCTTTGAAGGTGATGAAAGGGTAGATAACAGGACCATTCAATGGTTGAACACGTCAAGCAAGATCACTGTCACTTATAGAATGTTACCTAAAGGGACAGAACTTGGGTATTCACTAAAAGGGTATTATCCTGTCACCAAACCACCCAAATCTACCCCAACTTCATTTTAAAATATTTTTTTTGTTTGTTTAAGGGGAACAGCTGAAAAAAAAAATAGTTAAAAACATAGTAAAAAAAAAAATTTAAAAAACTTCATTTCAAAGTCAAGTTTTCATCGCTAACCAAAGTTCTCCGTTGGAACAATTCTACCTTCAGTTTTACTATTAATTGGGGCAAAGTGTACTCAACACAAAATTCGCAGGGTCGATTCCATCGTATTGTTTATTTGTCTTGACAAAGTTAAAATTGGTCTAGATCTAAGGTCGTGTCACTCACGTGTCAACATATCGTAATTAAAATCGACCGAGTTGTCGTTTACTGGTTCTTTAAAAAAACGACCCCCTCCACGCCACCCCCCCCTTCCCCCCCAAACCAGCCCGTCACGCTACACGAAACAATTCTATTTCCAACCAATCACATCAACTGTTGTGTAGCGTCTACATGTTGTTTTGTTTGAATGGTTCGTTTAAATTGTGAAATGATTCTTTCTGAGCTGATAATTGCAACTGTCATTGATGGATTGATTGTGTGTGTGTTGTCTTTCATGGAAGACAGACAAGCGAGTGGCATTCCTCTATGCTCTGTGGAGCATTTTTTTAAAAAAAGAGGGGGGGGGGGTGAGGGTGCGTGACCTAGATGGTGACACCTTTATAATGAGTAAACGTATCGAATTGTCGGCTGCTATTATGACAACATGAGATGGGGGGGTGGGGGGGTAGGGAGCGGAAGTTTTCACCGCCAACCGTAAAGTAAAAATCGTGAGTGTCGGTGAATGGATTGCGATGTGTTGTTGAAGAAAGGGGGGGGGGGGGTGAGGGTGCGTGACCTAGATGGTGACACCTTTATAATGAGTAAACGTATCGAATTGTCGGCTGCTATTATGACAACATGAGATGGGGGTGTGGGGGTGTGGGGAGCGGAAGTTTTCACCGCCAACCGTAAAGTAAAAATCGTGAGTGTCGGTGTATGGTGGGGGAGGGGGGGTGGTCAGGCCCACAGACCGTTAAGTCAAAAATGTGAGTCTTGTTGGAGGTTGAATAGTGCATACATGGTTGGAACATGCCTTAATCGATATCAAAGACTGCGCCTCATTGGAAAACTGGCTAATTACTACATTCACTACTTGTATTGCTTGTCTCAATTATCTCATGTAATCATGGTCATCAGTGATTAGTAATCGTTGTAATCATGAACACAAATGCGGAGTTAGGATCATTTTGGGAGTTACAAAAACGTACGATAAAAAATGGTAAGGATTGTGGGGGGGGGGGTGGCTGTGGTTGGTCACAAATTTATATCAAGAGATAATCTGTGAGTTTTTCACGTGCGTCTCTGGGTCTTAAGGTTTGGAGCGTGCCATAAGATGAGTTCTGTAAAGACAGTGCTTAAGTCATGTCTAGTCAAGCTAGATGAATACATTTTGTAGACATACGAACAGAATGTCCTGTAGTGTCAGTAGCCGTCCATGTCATGTAGTGTCAGTAGCCGTCCATGTCCTGTAGTGTCAGTGGCCGTCCATGTCCTGTAGTATCAGTAGCCTCCTTGGGCTGTAGTGTCAGGGCCGCCCATGTCCTGTAGTGTCAGTAGCCTCCATGGGCTGTAGTGTCAGTAGCCTCCATGGTCTGTAGTGTCAGTAGCCTCCATGGTCTGTAGTGTCAGTAGCCTCCATGGGCTGTAGTGTCAGTAGCCTCCATGGGCTGTAGTGTCAGTAGCCTCCATGGGCTGTAGTGTCAGTAGCCTCCATGGGCTGTAGTGTCAGTAGCCTCCATGGGCTATAGTGTCAGTAGTCTCCATGGGCTGTAGTTCGAGTAGCCTCGATTTTGTGGCTGTCGTAACGAGAAAAAATCTGAGAAACAAATTATGCGCTATTCTTCTATTTTAAAGGATAAAAACTTTAAAAAATCTGGAGTCCAAATTTATATCATTGCGATATTAAAGAAACGGACGAAATTTAAATATGTCGTAGAAGTTATTAAAAAAAATGCAAAAACGTCAAAGAAGTTTTTTTAAGCGTTTAATTTTAATAATAATATAGAAATGGCGATTATTTTCTCTACATGTCGCAGCTCTTTTTCTATGCGGAAGTTATGTTCTAGCAAGATACCATTTAAATTATCTTTGCTTCCCATTCGACATGTAACTACATCTACTTACATCTAAACTGTTATAGAATACGAAGACCAAGGATCAGTTTAAAGTTTGTGTGATTCAAAAGACACCATGACAAAGCTGAGTGCAAAGCTGGCTAGTATTGCTTGAACCAGGGCTACAAACATTTAAAAGGCAAAATAAAATCTATAAAAATCGATCACATTCTCCAATCAATAACGAAATGGGTTGATTCACTGATAAAAAGTCAATTGACGTTGTGAATACATGAAATGAATTTGTTGCGATAAGCCACATTTTTAAAAATAGAAAATCTGGCTGTGACCTTGATATTTTGAGATTTTAAATGAAATGTGATCATATAGAGCACTACATATGTGGTTATACCAAACACCACATATGTAATCATATCAAGCACTACTTGGTTATGGACATGAAACATATGAGACTCGACGCTCCATTGATGATAAAAAATAATCTCGATCACCTTTTAATTTGTGTTGGCCGAAATGTACAGTGCAATAATCACATTGGTTTATGTGCATGGCGGTGACTAATTGTGCATGATGGGGACCAACTGTGCATTATGGTGATCAACTGTGCATTATGGTTATCAATTGTGCATGATGGTGATGAATTGTGCATTTTTGTGGATAATTGTGCATGAAGGTGATTATTTGTGCATGATGGTGACAATCTGTGCATGCTGGTGATCTTCTTTGAGTGATGGTGGACAACTGTGCATGATGGTGGACAACTGTGCATGATGGTGTATGATCCGTAAAATTTGTTATGGAAAAAAAATAGAGTAATGTTTCTTTTTTTAAACCAAATAAGATCCACACTTTGACCTACAGAATGAAAGCAGAAAGACCAGATCTGAAATTTAGCAAGGCAAGAAACAGACTGCTACCAGGAACGCTACCGATAAGCACTATTAAAGTGTCAGACATGTCAACTCAGGAATTTCCAGAGAGAAGATTAGACTTACAGGCGATGAAGGAACCCCGAGACATAAGATTTATTTGAAAATATAAATCTCTTCTGGTTTTATTCTCGGATGTCATCATTGTTCAATATGTAAAATGACGTAAGGAAATTAAAAGGAATTTCGTGAAATGGAGAATATGTTGTTCTCCTTAAACCTGGTTAATACATCTCTGCTAGAATAGATGCCAGGGCTGAAAATATGCAGGGCGACCGGCTGGGGTGCAAGCCATTATCCCATTAGGCGGAGAGCCGCATTTACCCATAAGAAAAATAAAACTTTTCTTTGACCAACTGATATAACCTGGACTTTGTATAGCTTAGAGTCTCTGGACTTTGTATAACTTAAGGCCTGTCGAATTTATATAGCTTAGGGCTTCTGGACTTTGTATAGCTTGGGGCCTCTTGACTTTATATAGTTTTGGGTCTCTGGACTTAGTATAGCTAAGAAAGAACCACTGATTTTGAAGAGGCTACAAAGGAAGAAGGACCACCCATTTCCCCACCCAACTTTTCCCACACGATAACCCATACGATGACCCACACGATGACCCACCCGATGACCCATACGATGACCCATACTTAAAAGTGTTTGCTAACAAATTGGTGTTCTGCCTCATCGTCAAAATTTTTAATAAAAAAATCGAAAAGTAAATAATGGGGAAAATAAAATCGTCAAAATTGTAACGATGTTAAACGTGAATAAGGCGATAAAAGGAAACCATACTTTTGGGTTTTTAGATTGTGGTAAAGCTTACAACAATATATTAATATATACATTTCTTAGATATATATATTTAGCGTCTGGTGTGTCCTGTTCCTTATCGAAACCGGCCCTTCTCCCAACTCCACATGTTTTATAGTAATAGTTCTCAGTAAAAAAAAAGTCTGTCATGCGTGACGTGTGAACTCTTTTTTTTTCTTAAGGTGAAGAAGACTATTGTATTAATCAACATAGAGCCACGGGGAATGTGTAGGACAATCTGTAGGTCTGTCTGTAGGACTGTCTGTAGAACAATCTGTAGGTCTGTCTGTAGGGCTGTCTGTAGGACTGTCTCTAGGCCCATTGTTTAAAGCTGGCGTGTACGGTCCAAGACTGTCAGTAGAACTATTGTTTAAAGGCTGGCAGGTAGGGTGTAGGACTGTCTGTAGGCCTACTGTTTAAAGCTGGCGTGTACGGTGTAGGACTGTCAGTAGAACTATTGTTTAAAGGCTGGCAGGTAGGGTGTAGGACTGTCTTGTAGGACCATTGTTTAATGGCCGGCATATATGATAGAAAATAAGAAGTTAAATCTTTTGTTGTTGTTGTTGTTGTAACACTTGTACTCACCGGGTATTTTCTCACAATACTCAGACCCGTTGTATAAAACTGGACCCGGCTAAGCCCTGGCATATTATAAATTACTGGAGCACTGGTTCTCAACCCATAGATCTTGACATCAAATGGGTTTTCTCACGGGTTGCGAGATGAAACAATGAACGTTAAAAAATATTAATTCAAATGGCATTTAAAAAAAAAATTGGTCTCAAAGTTACGGGGACAAATCCAATCATTAGAT